TTCAACTTGGAGTCAATTCTAACACATCGTCTTGGTTTTCAAGATTGACAATGATTTGCATAATAGTGTTTTCTTTTGATTATTTTTGCCTTTGTCTAGGGCTCCTTTTTGCTAAGGTCTACGGTCCCATTGGCTATTCAAAGCGCCAGAGCCGCTTCGTTCATGTTCTTTTTTTGTCAATAAAGCGGGTCTGAGTTTCTCTTTCGAGACTTTACACATTGATGGTAGGTTGATTCCAACTTCATGGAATAGAGTAATGGTGTGCCAAGAATGATGTTGTAGATCTAAGGCATGTTGGCCACGACGAACTTGACTTGGAGAGTAGCTCATGCGACATAGACCGGGAGCTTGATCATTCTAATGATATGGTTGCAAAACCGGTTAGAGGTCGGTCGTAATATTTGATATAGTCAGCTTGTATATCCATGTGCCTCAACGTTGCTTTGTAGATCAAATTTACTGAACTGCCTGTGTCGATCGATATTGGGCCTACTTTGCGATCGACAATCATAAGCTCGATCAGCAATGGGTCATTAAGGTCGATCAAGGCTGTGTGTATCAATTTCATCGAAAGTAACAAAAATGTATTGATGTGGTCAAAGTTTTAACCACTGACCAACTTCTTGCAAATGTAGAGCAATCACAATTAGTATAAATAAGAAATTGAATTCACAGAGACTTGGTAATTAAACTTCGAATTGTAATGAATCGAATAAACTAGAACAAAATATATTTTGGTCATTTTTTATTGTAAAATAAACTAAATAAAAGCACCAAATAATCTAAATAGCTATGGAAATCAATATGAGAAAAGTGTTAGGATTAATTAAAGCCTGAAATTATTAAAACGCGTTTTCTCTAAAAACAGGTGACTTGCATCGAGCCCCGAGTCAAGCCTAATTCCTTCATTGTCGGTGTTAGCCCTGGCCTCCAGCGCCGGTTCTGCACTGATGGCCAAGAAAATGCTGCCCTCTTTGAAGCCCTCTCCTCCGAAACCTCTGCCTCCGGTTGTGCCTTTTCCTCTGTTTGATAGGTGGGTCCTGCTTCCTCCTCCTAAACTGTCGCCGCCACCGCTCGCTCTTCTGCTAGCCATGGCTCGTCCTTCGAACCCTCGACCATCTCGACTCTCCTCTCGCACCATATCTCCCCTCTCCTCTTTGTCGACTCTCTTTTCTAATCTCAGACATCCATTGCTGTGATAGCATGAAATCTTACCGACGATTGGCATTCTCCTTGTAAAAATCTTGGTCCCTCCTGTCTCGGACCCAGCCTTGACGAAGCCAAAGAAACAGGTCCAACGTCCACCGGCTTCCCCGATGAGACAATTTCGGGGCTTCTAGGCCTTCGTAATCTGCGGTCCTCTCCGTCGATTTCAATGGAATCCAGCGAGTTCTCTACCTGCTTTGTGTTAAGCTTCGGACAAACGACAGATGCTGTGTCACCTGAAACAACTCGATCCTTTTTTTTTTAAACATAATCGAATTAGTATTCCCATAAATACTAATTCTCAACAACAAGCAAACCAATCATAACAAACAGCATAAGCAAAACTCAATTAAACCATTCAATTAACCACTTCATCAAACCAATTCGATAATCAATTCTAATTCAATAATTCCAAGAAACCCAGCCAGAAACTCTAACAACATCAAAACACAACTCAACCAGACCCTAGATCATCTTCCTCTTCATAGCCATGAACACGCACTCACCTTAATTCTGGATCGATTCTAGACAAAGACAACCACGAAAAGGGACCTCTCTCACACCTACAGCCTTTGCTCTATCTTTCCTTCCTCACGAACCAACAAAACCTCGATCCTTTGTCCAAAAACCTCCTAAACCGAAATAGGGTTTCAGAAAACAGGTGCGACAAGGTGACTTCTAAAGCACACAGAGAACAAAACTTACATCTGAATGAGGATCGGAAACCTGATATGAAAACTAGACAAAGAGAGCTAACCAACGGTATGCATATCGTTTTCTGAGTCCTTTTGGTTCGACGGAAATCCTCCTTCGAAGTGGACTAATCGCAGATCCAAAACTGCACAAAGCTCTCTCAGTAAAATAATGATAACTTCTAGAATACACATCCGATTGACAAAATGTTTTCTCCTATATCAAGATCAGAGAGTGGAGAACTCATCCTGAACGTTTTACTCTGATCTGATTTGTTATTACTGGTCGTTACTCTCTTCTTCTAAAACTGGATAGAACTTCCTCCGAAGCCTCAAACACACTCAAGAAATCCACTTCCTCTCTCAATTCTCTTTCTTTCCACCTTTTCACCTCTCTTCCTCGTGAAAGAATACGAATACAGAGCATATATACCCAGCCCTATGGTTCACTAACCCAAACCAGACCAAACTGACGGAATAATAATAAACCAATCGGATCAATTTAACCTG